GTATCCCTTTTATAGTTTCTAGAGAAACTGTGCTGTGATACAGGCCACTGCACAGCTTTGCAGAGGAAGCTGACAAGGCTGTATGTAGGAGCCTCCTAGAGGAAGTGTATCAGCTACTTGTTTAAGTTTACTTCCCTAATGACTCGTGCAGTCACTCCTAAATAAATTGAAGACTAAGCATTTAAAGGCTCACCAGTCAATGGCTTCAGAGTCTGCCTAGCCCTGGTCAGAGTGGTGATCATCAAGAAAGTAAATGACCACAGGTGCTGGCGAAGAAAGAGGAAAGAGGGACTAATATTCTTGCTGGCGAGAGTTTAAACTTGTGCAGCCACTATGGAAAGTATTATGGGAATTCCTTAAAAAAATTAAAGTAATACAACTCTGGATATATATCCGAAGGACTCCTGATATCTGTAACATAGTCCAAACACCCGTGTTGATAGCTGCCTTATTCCTAACAGTCAAGACACAGAACCAGACTAGATGTCCATTGACAAGGAACACATAAAGATGTGCTATGTACACAATGCATTTTATACAGTCATCAAAAAGGAAATCATGAAATTTGCAAGAAAACTGATGCAACTGGAAATAATTGTGTTAAGCAAAATAAACCAAATTGCCTGGCACCCCTTGATGTGACAATATGTTTCATTTGAAAGTAAATGACTTGGGGAGCTGACTTTTGTAGTATGTTTGACAACAATTCATATTTCACCAACCTGTTGCTGTTTCTATGATGTGATATGGCAAGTCACTAAAACATGTGGTTGCACTTGCAATTGGTGTTCCATGGATCAGTTAAGCATTTGTGGCCACTAGGTCAAAAATGCCACCACTGCACCCAGATTTGCTGTGTCTGTGATCAGCACCGTTCAGTTCTGAGTACACTTCTGACACGTTCCCAACATCTCCTGCCCTGGGTCTGCGTTTTCCTTCAGCGGTCTCAAAGGAGATGTTGTTCTTTAGCTTACCACTGAGTACTTGAATGGTAGGAAAAAGATCAAGTGCTTTCTTTGTTTTAAATTTTCCAAGTCTACTTGGAATTGTTGGGCATCATGTACATTCTTGGTCACAGTTAAGAGGAGTTAAGGAAGAACCATAAGAGAGATGCTGTTATGGGTTGGTCATCATCTAAGTAACTGCCAACTATGTTTAAGAAACACAATACTCTTCATAGTTGTCTTCCAGGAAGAGAACAGGTCTGATTTGGAAATCAGGAGTCAGTGTTGGTTGTGTCCTTGCTTGCTGTCTAGATGCTAATGAGGCTACTTTAGGGGCTCATGTAGTCCTCAGATGGAATAATAACTCTGTGTAGCTATATAAAATCTTCAAAGGGCTCAAGGAGCTTTGGATTTTTGCAACAATCCCATTAATATCCATGTCATCTTCTGGTAGACTGGAGTCTGCAGGAAGTAAACTACCTGTGTAATTACTTGCCTGAGGGTTGGTTTATAGTAGGACCAGCTCTGAGATTTCTTGTCATAACTGCATACTACTTCTGCCCCCAATACCTGCAAAAAGAAAATAGTCCCTATTTGGAGCTTGGAATGTGAGATCTGATTTTTTTGTCACCTTTGGGGTTTTGAAGGTCAGTTCAAGATTAAGGTGTAGACATTTGCTGCAGCTGTACACTTTAAAGCTTGGTTTTGCGAAACTCACATCCTCTCCTTGCTACCTTTAAGGCCTTCTATCACATGACTCATTCTGCTCTGCCATGCCTTTCCCCTAGCTGCCATGGCTTTTCATGCCCCATGTGCTACTTCCTTCTCTGTGATACATTTTCCCTCCTTACCAATGTGGCAAAGTTTTACTCCATCTTTAATACCAGCTTTCATGCCCCGAACCCCCAGGAACCCAATGACTTGATGTGCCATCGTGTTCCCCTGACATTGTACATCCTGTCTATGAGCCCAGGGCATCCTGAGACACTCTTAGTTGTTGGAATATGACCAGCACAGGAAGTTTGGAAGCTCCTGATGAGTCAGATCTTGTATTAGTTTTTTTTTTTCACTGTCAATTTCTGTTATAGTTCCTTCTTATATATTTACAGAAGAAATGAACTTTACATATGTTTAGCTTCCATAGTATAGAAGCTCATTGTTATTGTAGTTGATTGTAAGTTTGATAGAATAATAATGAAATTATTAAATGAAAAACTTCAAACAGATTCCCTTTCTGGCTATTGAATCATAGTTCTTTGCATTTTTCCTCCAGAGCTAAGATGAAAATTTAGAGACAGACATATTCAGATAATTCTTACTGCCTAAGACAAAGGTGTCTGAGAATGGAAAGCTTCTGTTCCTTGTAATGTTCTACTTAATTTATAGCCATTTTAGTGTCCTACTGAGACTCAAGGTTAATTTTTGTTGTTGTTAGAAATGAAACATTGCACGTCGAGTTAGGATAGTGTAGGTTGGTTTATGCCATAGTCTGTTTTGTGTCCTAGACCAGAATATCAAAGACCTGTTGGTTTATAAAGACTAGAGATTTCTTTCTTCTGCTTCTAGTCACAGGCAAGTCAGAGATCATATTCTGGTACCTGGTGAGGGTCTTCTTGTGTCTTGGTGGAAGACACAGGAATATATCCAAGAGAAGACTAGAGATGCACCTTACAGCCTCAAGTGCTTTAGTAACTGGGTAGTTGTCCGTTGCTGTCCTAGAACATCCTGACGAAAGCAGCTGCGAGGAGCAAAGGCTTTATTCTGATTTACAGTTCCAGAGGGATAGAGTTCATTGACGAGAGGCAGGGAAGGCCTGGCAGCAGGAGCGAGAGGCTGGCTGATCACATTTTCATCCACACAGCGGAAGCAGAGATTGAGAGAACAGGAAGTGGGGCTATGCTATACAACCTCCAAGTCTGCCTCGCTCATCCAGCTAGACTCCAATTTGCAAAGGGCTCACAAGCTTCTGAAGGAGTGTCCCCAGCTGAGGACCAGGTATCAGATACATGGGCCCCTAGGAAAATTTCTCAGTCAAACCAACACAATTACTGCTGATCCACTCATGAGAATGGAGGAGCATCCACTTGGCTCCTTTTTCCAAGCATGTAACATTTTGGAATTGAGTTTCTAATATGTAACTTGAGGGACACATTCAAACCATAGCAGTGTATGGTATTTGAGTAGCTGTACAGTTCTGTGCTGGGATTGAGCCCCTGTGCTGTGTAAGCTGGGTAAGTGCTCTGTTGAGCTACACCCTAGCCCTGGCTTGGCATATCCACATGAGTTTAGAACCTCCACATCTTCTTTGTTCTTAGACATCTTTGTCTTAGTTAACAGGGATTGTCTGAATATATCTGTTTTATAAGTTTTGTCTTAGCCCTGGAAGAACATTGCAAATCATTGTGATTTAATGGAATTTAAGGAAATTTAATTTAATTTAAGGAAAGGAATCAGCTTGAAGTTTTTTTTTATTTAGAGTAGATAATTATTCTAAAATATCCTATTAATTAATGGGAAGTAAAGAAACTTAAACTTTATTGAATAACTTTATTTGTGTATTGAGTGATATTATAAATTGTTTTTTGTTTTGTTTTGTTTTGTTTTTGAGACAGGGTTTCTTTGTGTAGCCTTGGCTGTCCTGAAACTAGCTTTGTAGTCCATTCTGGTCTTGAACTCACAGAGATCCACTTGCCTCTGCCTCCCAAGGACTAGGATTAAAGCATGTGCCACCACCACCTTGCTTTTTTAAAAAAATGATTTAAATAAATCATTTAAATATTTTTATTTTATGTCAACTAGTATTTTTCTGCATGTATGTCTCTGTGAGGGATCCCCAGGAGCTGGAGTTATAGACAGTTGTGAACTGCTGTGTGGGTGCTGGGGATTGAACCCAGGGCTTCTGGAGGAACAGCCAGTGCTCTTAACAACTGAGCCATCTCTCCAGCCCCTTATAAATTATTTTAAAGAATGGCTTGAGATAAATGTTATCATTGAAGTGGAAACCGTAACATATTTGTAGATCATTCATAATGTCCATTATTGAGAATGTATCAAGTATCCGGTGAGTCACTGATTTCTCTGTCTTGATAAATCTATATCTGTCTCTTTGCCTTTCAACCCCTTTATCAATAATAGGGAATCTAATATAGCTTGAGCATTCTTAATGTGAAACTCTTGGTTATCCAAAACATTTTGAGCACTGACATCATGCTCAAAAGGCTTGGCTTTCGGAGCACTTTGGAATTTTTACATCATGTTGCTAGACTGTAAAGTGTGTGCACAAGCCTCCTCTGAACTCTGAAACACTTTAGTCCTAAGCATTTTGGATGAGGAATAAGCAGCATGTACATGCCGGGTGCTGTACTGGGCATGTTGTGACAATTTGCTTTTAAATTCTTCTTGTAGATTAGCAATAACTATTTTCATTTCATAGCTGGGAAGCTATAATGGAGTGAGTAACTTGGCAAAGTTCACCGACAGTAAGTAGTTTGGCTGGATAGTTTAAATATAATACTTCTATAGCGTATGTGTGAATAATTTCTACGACACTGACTGTTCTGTATTATTTAAGTTCTTTCTGGTATGTGGTATTTAGGTGGTAGACTTTCTCACCATCATTTGCTACATCAGTTCTCCAGAGAGCCTCGGTACTAGTGCTGGGTTCACAGTAGTGACACGCAGATACCACTTATCAGGCTGATTATTCCTATTGTGTGTCATAATAAAGCTCATTAAAATTTAAGGTTTTTAGCCGGGCGGTGGTGGCACACGCCTTTAATCCCAGCACTCGGGAGGCAGAGGCGGGTGGATCTCTGTGAGTTCAAGGCCAACCTGGTCTATAAAGCGAGATCTAGGACAGTCAGAGCTGTTACACAGAGAAACCCTGTCTCATAAAACCACACACACAGAAAAAAAAAAAAAAACCAATACAAAATTTAAGGTTTTTAGAACTAAAGAAAATGTCTTTTACAATGTTTATGGATTATGTGCCTCTGAAGTTTAAAGTGACTTTTACTTTAAAAATGATGATGTCATGTATCCTTCGCTTTCAAACAGGTACCAAGTACTTGCCTTTGCGACGGATGCGGATAAGAAGCAGGAGACGGAACAGCAAAAACTCGGTTCTGGAAAAAGACTAGTTGTAAGGCCTTTAATATATAAAGATGTCAAATTCCATATATTATCATATTTGTTAGGGAATTCTTGGAAGAAAATGAAAGATATATTTTGATAAGTTTTCTTATACAGTTCTATCAATGACAGAAATTGAATTGGCTGTTGTTGAGCTGTGGAGCATGTCCATCTATATGCCATGATACACCAGAACATAGGTAATGCCACTACAGCTGTGCATTTAAGAGTTTATAAACCAACACAAAATTTTAAACACCTTTTAAAAATTTCTATTTTCTTATCTTTCTTTCTCTCTCCTCTCTCTCTCTCTTTTCTGGGCTTTAAAATCTTTATTTTCCATTGAACTAGAATCTCTGAAAACATACTGTAGCTGAAGTTTTCCTGTGTCCCTCCTGGTCCTGCAGCCACTCAGACCCAAGTAAACACACAGAGGCTTAGAATGACATTCCACAGCAACATACATAGTAGGTCAGTATCAAACTGACTCAACAGGTTGTATGTGTATATTTATACACACATACATACACATATGCACACACTTACACATTTACACAGACACATTCTCACACACACACACACACACACACACACACACACACACCAGGACTTTGAAAGGGAGCAGGAGTATATATAGCTTACGGGAGGGGTTGGAAGGAAGAGTTGGGGGGTAGTGAAAGGATATACATACAGTACACATATGTGAAATTAAAATAAAAACAGGTGAATTTATAGATGCATATGACCAACCTAAGTTAAATCAAGATGAAGCAAATATTTCTTTCACTTTTTAATTGAAAATAGATTTTTCATACAATGTATTCTGATTATGTCTTCTCCTCCCCCTACTCCTCCCAGATCCTCCCACTTCCCCACCCACCCAAATCCACCCCTTTATCTGTCTTATTAGAAAACAAACAGGTATCCAATAATAATAATAATAATAATAATAATAATAATAATAATAATAATAATAAGTAATAATAATAGTAAATAAATAAAATAAGAGAAAATCAATAGGACAGAACAAAGGAACAGAAAAAAGCTGTAGCTAGAGTTTTCCTGCCTGGCCCACAGTCAGGATAAATCTCTGCCACCCGCCAGTCCCACCCGCATCTTCACATGCTGTTTGTCATCATGGCAGTGTCTGGCTGACAGTGTCTCTCTGACTCAGCCTTCCACTTCCCAGCTCTATTCTCCTCCTTGTCCCGCCTATACTTCCTGCCTGGCCATGGGCCAATCAGTGATTTATTTATTGACCAATCAGCAACACATTTGACATACAGACCATCCCACAGCAAAAAGCCATTGTAACAACACAAGAAAACCATAAAAACAAAATGGGAAACTATAATGTATAAATAAAATATCTGTAAAGTGGGAAAAAAAATAAGGCTCGGACAGAGCAATATGAGATAAAACATACCTCCAGAAATGCCATTGAGTTTGTTTTCTGTTGTCCATCTACTGCTGGGCGCGGAGCCTGGCCTCCTGGTTTCTACACCCAGTGAAACTCCACGGAAGAACTGATTTTTTCCTGTTCCGCAGTTCATCCACTGGAAATAGCCTCTGGGTTAGGGACGTACTGGGACCCCATCTGGCTCAGGCCCATGCAGGCCCCATGCATGCTGCCAGCCCTGCTGTGTCTCCCAGGTCTCCTCCTCCTCTTCCGTGTGTTCCCTGAGCCCTGAGGGGCGGCTTGATGGAGACATCCCCTTTAGGACGGAGTGTTCCAAGGTCTCTCCCTCTGCACATTGGCCAGCTGTGGGTCTCTGTGTTTGTTCCCATCTGCTGCAGGAGGAAGCTTCTCTGGTGATGGCCGAACAAGACACTGATCTCTGAGTACAGCAGAATGGCATTAGGAGCCATTTTATCGCTGTATTCCTTTAGCAGGATAGTAGTACGAAAATAGCTTTTGAAACTGACGTGTTCCTTGTCGGTTTCACACATGTGCATATGTTCTGGTCACAGTTATCCTTCCGTCTCCTCACCACCCACTCCTATCAGCCCCTCCTCCACCGCATGTTCTCGCCTTACTGTTATGTTTTGTAAAAGCCACCTCTTTAAAAAAATAGATTTTACACATTCATTTATTTTGTATTTACTGTGTTTGTGTGTGGCCAGACCCATGTGTGCCTGTGTGTGTTTATGTGTGTCTCTGTGTGTGTGTGTGTATGTATGTGCGCATGCACACGTGTGTGTTTGTGTATCTGCCAGTGGACAGCTTGCTGAGTTGGTTCTCTCTTTCTATCATGTTCTGGGAATTGATTACAGATCTTCATGCTTGGCAGCAAGCTTCTTTCTCCCCTGAGCCATTTTGCTGACCCAGAAAAACATCTCTTTAATGTGAAATTTTTGTACATTATATTTCCCTGTTTATACGAGTTTTCCTTGGGCTAATTTTTAGTTTTTTTTTTTCCTTAGCACTTATTTTGAGCAGTTGGGATTCTGACGTCTTTCTCCCTCCTTCTCCCCCGTCTATGTCTTTCAAGTTTAGTACTTGCTGAGCTTCCTGCATCTGTGAGTTTAGAGTTTTCATAAAACTAAAGAAATTGGGCCAGTCGATTCTTTAGATATTTGTGTGTGTGTGTGTGTGTGTGTGTGTGTGTGTGTGTGTGTGTGTGTATCTCCTTTCTATGGACTACTCTAATTATACATATACTTAACTTACTCAAGACTGTCCCATGACTTACAGATTTTTCTTTTCATTTTGTTCAGTTGATTAATTAATCTTGCAATGGCAAAGATTGCGTCTTGGGCCTCATACAGCTTTTTGCCATCCAACGATTTCATTTCCCATTAAAAAGTCATTTATTCTTGCTCTTTCTCTTGGAATAATTTTTATTGCTGTAATTAAGACCACTAATAACTTTTTTCTAGTGGAATGAAATCCATTTGGTATAGATTTCATTTCTGTAAATTCAGTTTGAATGTTTGTATCTCCAATATCTCTATATAACTTTTTGAAGATATGAAATAGTTATAATACTTATTATCTTGGTTTTCTAATTCTTAACATCTGTATCAGTTTTGAGTTAGTTTCAGTTGATTTATTTCTCTTCTTTGTAAATCACATTTCCTGCTTGGTTTTATTTGCATGATTGGTAATTTAAAAGTTATTATTAGATGTCAGATATAGTCAATTTTATTTTGTTGCATTTTAGATATTTTTGAATTATTACAGGCTAAGCTTAGTCCTGGAACACAGTTGTTTGAAAACAGTTTGACCTTTTTGAGCATTGTTTTAAAGATTTATTAGGTGGAACAAAACTACTTATTGTACAGCTAAATTTCCCCACTCCTGAGACCAGATCCTTCTGCGTGCCCTGCCAGTGCCCCGGGGCCATGAGCTTTTGAGCATAGATTCAGTCCTGTGTGGATGTCGGGCACTGTTACCTGGAATCCGGGGGGTGGCTTCCCTGGCCTTCCCTCGTTTCTTTCTGTGAATGTGCTGATGCATTCTCAGGTGGACATTTGAGGTAAACTTTGCATAGGTCTCCCAGGGTTGGTCTCCTCATTGGATGTGTTGTGAACTCTAACTGCTTTAGTTTCTCTGGACTCTGAATTCATCTCCTCAGTTCGGTATGTCTGCCGGGCTCTGTCTGGATTCTTCTTCCCTGCACCCTGGTCTGAGAGATCTCTTGTGAGGCTGCAGGGGACATATCACCCACTATAGTTGTTTTTGGAGTGTAAGACATCATTTTCCTTATTATCTTACAAGCCATTGTTTTATGTGTTCTGTGCATTTTGTGGTTATTTCAGGTGAGATGCTCTCCTTTTCTATTGTTCCTATAAATTTAAAGTGACTCTTCAAATTCTTTAGATCTATTCTTTCTTCACCCACCCTTAGGTTTTATTTTTGTTTGGTTGTTTTTTTTTTTTTTTGAGAAAGGGTCTAGTGTAGCCTAGGCTGACCTTAAACTTACTATCTAACATACCCAAGATTAGACTTAAACTCTTTAATTTTTTTATTTTTTAACAATTCCATACATGTATATTCTAGGTTTTGGCATTTAAAAAATTATTTATTTATTATTTTTATTTTATATGCATTGGTGTTTTGTCTGCATGCATGTCTGTGTGAGGGTGTCAGATCCTCTGGAACTGGAGTTACAGACAGATGTGAACTGCCATGTGGGTATTGGGAATTGAATCCAGGTCCTCTGGAAGAACAGCCAGAGCTCTTAACTGCTGAGCCATCTCTCCAGCCTGGTTTGGGGCATTTGAATAACCCCCACTACCCTCCCATCCCCTCACTGGAACACTTTCTTCCCGACAGGGCTTCTCTTACTTGAGCACCTTAAAGTCTTATTTGAACCTCCTGAGGTAATTGGGTTTGCTTATGTCTTAGTCAGGTTTCTGTTGCTGTGAAGAGACACCATGACCATGGCAACTCTTATAAAGGAACACATGTAATTGGGGCTGGCTTACAGTTCAGAGGTTTGGTCCATTATCATCATGGTGGGACATGGCTGAATGCAGCAGACATGGTGCTGGAGAGGGAGCTGAGAGTTCTACATCTGGGTCATCAGGCAACAGGAAGAGAGAGAGACACTGAGTCTGGCCTGAGCATCTGAGACCTCAAAGCCCACCCCCAGTGACACACTTCCTCCAACAAGGCCACCCCTCCTCACGGTGCCCCTCTTCATGAGCCTGGGGGACCATTTTCACTGTCGTAGCTTGTATGAACATGAGTGGGGGTTCACTGAAGTAGGGGTAACTTACCAGAGTCTACACCACGGAAGAAAATGAACCCTGTCCCATAGCACTCACTAACTGCCGAAGTTCTGCACTGAGAGCGGGACCTTGAGAGCTCTTTATTCAAGCATGGTAAGAGGGTGACATGTCTAATCTGATGTCACTCTCGTGCAGGCAAGCATAGCCAGTGAGTTCAAGAGTGCAATGGCCCTGTCAGGTCCAGAAGGCACTTTTCATGCCGTTCCTCCCCAGCATCTGGTTCTTATATTCTTCCCAAGCCCCCTTCCCCAGGATTTCTTTAGCCTTGGAGGGGTAACACAGATGTCCTGTTTAAGGCCAGCATCCCAGAGTCACTCATTCCCCACACTCTGACCTGTTTTGGGTCTCTGTCTTAATCATCACCGACTGCAAAATGCTTCCCTGTTGGAGGCTGAGAGCAGGACTAATCAGTGGGTATAAACATAGCGTTAAGAAGGCAGTTTGATTCCATGTCCATTTTGAAGAAAGGACAGCAGTAGGTTTTCCCCTAGGGTCAGTGACCTCTCCAGCTCTTGGCCAGGTTTATGGAAAAGACACGAGTTCACTCCTGAGGAGCAATCCCTAAATACAGTCAGAAGTGATTTGTTGCCCCCATAATGCCATACCACAATTGCTGTGGTGAGCACGTTTTGGCAGGCACGTTGTTATATTGTAGCTGATGGGGCCTACTAATGACTTTTCTCCCCCAGACACATAGCACCTGGCCTTAAACTCTCAGTCCTTCTGAACGCTGGGATTGCAGGCATGGCCCACCATGGTTGAGCTTATTTCCTTTTTACATGTTACTACTGTTTGTTATTAGACACTAACTGAGGCTGCTCATTTCTTCTTGGTGCAGTTTTTGTCTTTTTGTGAAGCTATCCTTACTTATATCCTTACACTAACTCTTGCTGAATTCTAAACACTTTCTGCATGTGTACTTTATGTTTTTCCTTTCATTATGGTAAGAAGCATTGCCTAACTATTGAGCATGCTCCGTGGCAGTAGACTTCTCTTTGGGTAGTTCTTAGTGGAGAGGAGTCAGTTTGTCTGTCCTGTCATCACTTGATGAGGGCTCCGTGGAGGACTGCATGTGGATGCATTTTAGAGTCGTCTTTGTTGCAAGACATTTTTCCTAACAATGTTAGCTGTGGGTTTTATTGAGTATGATTTATTGATTTGCATGGTAAACATGGTAGCTTTAAAAGATTAAGTTTGTTTTTAAACTGATACATAAAAACATGAACATTATACGTGTACATGGAGTGTCATGTGATGTTTTGATTTGTGTATACATTGTTTAATATTTAAATCAGGTCTAACAAACCAAACTTCTCCAAAAATCTATCATTTTTTTAAAAAAAGATTTATTTACTTTTATTTTATATGCATGGAGAGTTTGTCTGAATGTACGTCTGTATACCACATGTGTGCCTGTGGAGGTCTGAAGAGGCCATCAGATCCCCTGTAAGTAGAGTGTGACGGTTGTGAGTCCCTGTGAGGAGCATGTGCTCTTAACTGCTGAGCCATCTCTCTAGCCACCGTCATTTCTCCGTGGAGAGCATTCAGACTTTGTCCAGCCTTCCGTGTGTACAGTCCGTTACTGTGACCACTATTCCCCTGCTCCTGAAGCTCTTCCCAGCACTGCACGTAGCTTTCCTGATGAGTGCTCTGGAATCACTGAGTACCAATATTGTCTGCTAAGAGACAGGCTAAAACCTACAAACACTAGCTCCAGTGATGGTAGGCAAGCCAGCCCCAAAACCAACCCAGGAAAGTAGACATCTTGGTTTGCTATAGAGCAGTTTCTTTATTTACAGTGATGTGAAAGTGACGGACCGTCTACATCACGGTCGATTTTGCTTTTCAGGTGGACTGGACTCTGAATATTGGAGAACAAGCTCTTGATATTTGTATCATCCCTTTTAACCAGTCTGCATCTTCTGTTTTTGTTCTTGGTGAGAGAAACTTTTTTTGCCTGAAGGATAATGGGCAGATTCGATTCATGAAGAAGCTTGATTGTAGCCCCAGCTGTTTTCTCCCATACTGCTCAGGTGGGTACAAAGGTTTTCTGTTATCCTTGCCGTATCTCACGTATCACATATATACACATATATCAGCATGCATACACACATCAGAAAAAGCCACACTCAGACACATATTTTAAACATCTAGGAAAAGGGTTTTTTACTGAATATATAATGGAACCTTTAACTTTGATCGTTTTAGTAGACATTTGATATAAAGCACACGTGGTTTTGCCAGCCTTGGACTCTGTAAGATCACTTGTAGACTGGCTTCCAGCTCATTAATGCTTTCCATAATGTGACTGTTCAAGAATCCTTCCGTGAGAATATCACTCTTTTATAAGCAGAGCAATGCTGTGTAGTAGAATGACTTACAGTGCATGCCTGTCAATCATTAGTTTAGATGTGTGATATGTTAATAAAATTCATACCTTCCGGATGAAATGTGAACACCTTGGCTGATATCCATACTTCCTGTCTGTAAAATGATTTGTTTCTTTTTTGCTCTTGGTTTCTTGAAATTGAAAGCTAATTTCTTATCACCTAAAATCTTTATGTGTTAAAATCAAGATATTACAATTAGCGTGTGATAAATTTCCTGAAAGAGACAGCTGTGTACCATTTTGAATGGCCTTTTCGTTACTATCTTCTTTCTGTGTCTTCACCCTGCAGTTTCTGAAGGCACAATAAATACCCTGATTGGAAACCATAATCACATGCTGCACATTTACCAGGATGTGACGCTGAAGTGGGCCACACAGCTCCCCCATGTTCCTGTGGCAGTCAGGGTGGGCTGTCTGCAGTAAGTGGTTCCATTTAACTTTTATGAAAGGATTTTTGTTTAGTCTCACTTTCTAGCCCTGGCTGGCTTTGAACTCACGGCACTTTTGCCTCAGCCTCTGCACCTGGCTCTTATTAAATACCTTAGTCAAGGAGTTCTGTAGAAATTTTGTGGTTTCACTGAAGTGTTGTAGTGTGACTGTTAATAGTAGAATTTTTTTTTCTTGGAAAAATATATAAAAATTCCTTAATTAGCACCATTAATTATTTTCACTTACTATTTCTAAGAAGTTACTCCTTTAGAATTAAAGGTGAATAGTGTTGAAGAGAACAGGGAGATACTTTTCCTGGTGGATTATTTTCTTTAATGTGAAAACAGAGAGCCACACTCACTTGTAATTCAAAACTTGCTTCAGACTTGCTTATATTAGGTGATGCTGAGTTGCCTATGTTCACGTGCTTAAACAGTTCAGAGTGTAGGGCAATTTTGCACTTGAAATGAAAGAAAAATAAAATTAATATCAGTATTAAACTCATGACACAGTTTGCCAGTGAGTAGCCTCGAAAGGTTGTTAGTGTAAGAGTTGAACTCCTGAACTGTTCTTGAGCAGTTCAGCTCGTGTATCAGGACTGAGGAGCTAAACTGAAGCCTAGAAACAACTTCTCTAAAGTCTCCACGGAGACTCAGATCCCTTTCATTTTGCTCGTTAGAATATTTATTGCGGAAGTTTCCATTGATACCTGTAGTGTCCAGTCAGGATGATTTCTTCCCCAAATGAGGAACTGGATGTTTACTGTTGGATACAATGAGGGGCACTCACAGTTGTATTAATGACTAAGCTATAGCATGTACATTCCTAAACTGAAGTCTGTGTCTTGAATACACTGAATATTTGTATCATTTTATGTGTATGGGTCTTTTGCCTCCATGTGTGTCTGTATCATGTGTGTGCCTGGTACCCAAGGAGGCTAGAAAAGGGTGTTGGATCCCCTGGAACTGGAGTTACTGATGGTTGTGAGCCACCATGTGGGTGCTAAGGATCAAACCCAGGTTCTCCAATGAGAAGCAGTGCTCTTAACTGCTGAGCCATCTCTCTAGCCCCCAAAACACTTCTATGTATATGTGTATCTATGCATCTATGTATGTATCTATGTATGTATCTATGTATGTATCTGTGTATCTATGTATCTATGCATCTATGTATGTATGTATGTATGTATGTATCTGTGTATCTATGTATCTATGCATCTATGTATGTATGTATGTATGTATGTATGTATGTATGTATCTATCTATCTATCTATCTATCTATCTATTCATTCATTTTTAAAGCTGCTTCTCTCCTTGAGTAGGATGCAGGACTCCTAAATCTGGTCCTCTACAGAGTTTAGTCATGTCTTCAGCTACAGGAGGAATGTTTTTATTACCATCTTCAGATCATTTTACTGGTTCTGAGGCTCTCTGGAACTCACAGACACCCACATGCCCCTGCCTCCTGAGTACTAAGATTAATTACATGGGCCACCACACTGGCTCACTGGAGATATTTACCTTTGATACTTCAATAGGTTGACACAGGTGCTACCTACATTCTGGAACTTGAAACATGATTGAATCCTTCATAGTTTGCTGCACGCATGTCCACAGGGGAGTTGTGTTCATTGAGTGCATATTGTGTTAAAAAAATATTCCTTTTTAAAATTAGAATATCATTGACAAAGTTTACAGCTCCTTCCATGTTCATACTTTTAAATAAATATAATCAAGTCTCAGATAGATGCTGCTTCCTTGTATTTTACGAGAAAGGGCCATCATTTATTTCTCATTGCTGTGCATTTAACAGGAATTATAGGTTGTTGGTTTTTTTTTTTTTTTTTAGTATCCAAGTAATAAACTATTTGAAATTGGTTTTTGCAGTGTCCACCAGATTTTTTTTAAAAAAATTTCATCCAATCAGACTCACCAGACATTTTACATCAAATTTAGTTAGAAGAATTTAGAACTGGAAAACCATCTTGCCATCAGGGAAGTGCTGGCCATTTCTCTTCCTGGAGAGTAATTCTTATAGCAGTCCATACATTCATCCACGAGCTGTTCTCTTGGGTTCCATAAGTGACCACTAGGTGCAAAAAGACAGATGTCCCATGGTGGGTTTGTGGCCCACCTTGGTTCTCCAGGAAGGGAGGGGGATGTAATTCTATTTTAACTTTAATATTTTATTTATTTATTTTTTGTGATTTTAGAGATTAAACCTAGAGCCTTGAATATATTAGGCAGTTTTTCTGCCTCTGAGCTATATACCAGGCTAGGAGCCAGTATCTTTACTTACTAAAAAAGTCATATATATATGGGAGTTTGGTGGGAAGAGAGGCTGTTGATAGTATTTTGTTGAAATAGTCGTTTACATTATATATAAGACTTTCAAAAGTTACCTTTCTCTAGGAAATGCATATATTTTAAGTACCTATACTTCCGAAAAAAGCCTGTATTTCTTGTAGTTTTTTAAAGATCATATGCTGTGGGATATTCTGTATGGCAAATGTGTTGCTCTGATTGGTTATTAAATAAAACACTGATTGGCCAGTAGCCAGGCAGGAAGTATGGGCGGGACTAACAGAGAGGAGAATTGAGGGAACAGGAGGAGAGAAGGGGAGACTGCAGCCACCGCCAGGACAAGGAAGATGTAAGGTACCGGTAAGCCACGACCACGTGGCAAAGTGTAGATTAATAGAAATGGGTTGGATATAAGAGTAAGAGCTTGACAACGATAGGCCTGAGCTAATGGCCAAGTAGTTTAAATAATGTAAGAGTCTGTGTGTTTATTTTATAAGTGGGCTAAGGGACTGCCGGGGCTTGGCGGGACCTGGAAAGCTCTTCAGCTACAATCATAATTCTAAGTAACAAAATGAAAATGTTGCCACTAGTATTTTCATAATTTACACATAAATTCTATTCATGCAGTTGGAGATTTAAAAAAAATGTATATATATCTTTAAAGGATAAAACTAGATTATGCCTGCAAGAATTTCATGGCTTTTAGTTATTCTGGGAAGGGCTGGCACAAGCAACTCCCTCTTGCTGGTGTGAGGCAGGCCTTGGTGATGAAGTGTAGGCTGGTGTCACACTTCACATTCTCCGGTCTCAGCTTCCCAGGTGCTGGGATTACAGGCAAGCACTGCCATGCCCAGATGCCTCTGTTTGAGGTCTGTCATCTTCCTGCCTTGTCTGAACCATGTTATCCGGATGCATTGTTCATGAACCTTTTGCTGATTCATTCTCTACTGGCCCATGATGACGGGCATTTTAGTCACTTTTCTATCACTGTAATGAGACACCATGACCAAGGCAACTGATAAAAGAGAGCATATATCTGGGGTTTATAGTTTCAGAAGGTTAGAGCCCGTGACCATCATGGCAGGGACATGGCTGCAGGCAGGCCTGTAGGCGTATGCTGGGAACAGTTGCTGAGACCTTGCAGGCAGGCCTGTAGGCATATGCTGGGAACAGTTGCTGAGACCTTGCAGGCAGGCCTGTAGGTATGTGCTGGGAACAGTTGCTGAGACCTTGCAGGCAGGCCTGTAGGTATGTGCTGGGGACAGTTGCTGAGATTTACATCTTGATCCACAAGTGTGAGTCAGGACAAGACAGTTAACTGGGACATGTAGCAGGCTTTTTCTTTTGGGCCACCAACCAGCTCCCCAATCATGACACGGAGACTTATTATTAGTTTTGAATGCTTGGCCTCGCTTAGGCTCGTTTCTGGCTAGGTCTTTTAACTTAAATTAACCAGTTTCTTTTTATCTACCTTTTGCCTCGGGGCTTTTTGCCTTCTTTCTGTATATCTTACTTTCACTGCTTCTTGTATCTGCTGGCTGGTGGCTGCCTGGCTGGGCCCAGGGATCTCCCTCATTCTGTCCTCTCTTCTCTTTCATTCTCTTTTTCTCTCTTCTCTCTCCTATTTATTCGCTCTGGCTGGCAGTCCTGCCTGTCTCTCTCCTGTTCAGCTGTTTATTAGACCAATCAGGTGCCTTAGGCAGGCAAGGTGCTACAGCAACATATCTTTACATAATTAAACAAATGAAGCATAAACAAATGTAACACATCTTTGCCCAGTTAAAATAATACTCCACAACAGGGAATAGCATGGGTTTTTTAAATCTCAGAGTCTGCCCCCAGTGACACACTTCCTTCCACAAGGCCACACCTCCTAATCCTTTCCGAATAGCTCCATCAACTGGGGTCCAAGTATTCAACTATATGAACCTATTTGGGGCATTTTTATTCAAACTGCCACACCAGGAAATGATTCATCCTGGTTGGTTTGGTTTGATACCACATTAGTGGTAGGGAATAAGTCACAGATGTCAGGGATTTAGGACAATAACCCTTTTGGCTCAGTTCAAGCAGTTGATGTATAGAAGTGGCTGAGGTCATCCATTCTGCTTGCTTTGTGGGTGACACACGAGCATCTCAAAAATGTTGTTCATGCTCCTATGCCAGAAGCTGTTCTTACACAATGAAACCTTTACAGAGGCAAGAGTTCTCTGAAGGCTGATAGGTTCCATTTTAGATAGGTATAAGTTAGTTTCGGGAGCCAGTACCTAGAGGACAATCTTAACGTGAACCTTGATCTCAGAGAGCAGACTAAAGGAATGCTGGGAAGAGGAAGAGCAGAGTCAGGAGTCGCCAGCCAGACACAGAGGAGGCAAGATGACAAGGCAGAACTGAGAAAAGGTACCAAGCCATGTGGCTAAATAAAATAAAAGTTATGGGTTAATTTAAGTGTAAGAGCTAGTCAGTAATAAGCCTGAGCTAATGACCAAGCAGTTATAATTAATATAAGCCTCTGTGTGCTTACTTAGGGGACGTGAGAGGGAGAGATTTGTCCCAACCGCCGGCAGGCTGGGACACAGAAAAACTTTCAGGAGGACAATTTCCCAAGTATCCAAAAGTATGCATGGCTGTCCAGCACCAATGTTCTGACCTTGGTCTCTACTAGCATTTTGTTTGTTGTAATTGTT